ATGCTTTTCGAAAGATATTATTATTGTGCACGACTTTGAAAGTTATACTCTCATTAGAAGAGTAACGGCTCCCTATTAATTTCTATAAAATTCAAAAAGGTGTGTATCTCTCTCTCTCAATCCCATGGCCATAGATATGTGGTTGTGGTACAAAAGCTTGGAAAGAGGCTACCGCTATCCTTTCTCAGCAATATGTTTAATTTAGCATCCTTGTGGGATCAGGATCAGGCTCACCTTTGCCCTGTTAGGAGGTTTCTCTCTCTAAAAGCCTAAAGGAATGAGCTGTTCATTTCTGAATGATTATAGAGTAAATCTAAAGGCAAGTAGGGATGGACGGCTAATGAGATGAAAAAGTCGATGGTATGGGTTGGGAATCGGCTGGGATTGAACCGGTCTATCGAAGGCATTACTACCGGCCTAATCTCTCTTAAAATATTCTTTTACATATTTTAATTTATTTAATATTTTAAAAATATACAATAACACTATTTATTATTTAAAATAAAGAGGTCGCAATTATTATTGACTGTTAAATTTGAAATTAAATGGTTGAGTATGTATTATTGCTTGAGCAAAATTACTTAAAATAAAACTTTTCGAATATGTGTATCTGACTAAAAGTAATTGTGCCTTCTTTATACCAAAAATAAATCGTCTTACAATATAGAATCCCTATTTTTTTTATGAAAAAAGTGCATATAGAGCCGAGGCTTTAAACAATCAAATTAGAGCGCATCTCAAAAATTTGAGAGATTGTTTTGATGTCCAAATATCCTCAAATTGATCATCTCGACATCAAGATGCATGGATACGAAAAAAAATAGGATTTAAAGTTTTGAAAATAGTGCATCTTTTTGAGTCGTCAATTTTTAAGATTTTCAAGTTTTCATAAATCTGCTCGATCTACACTATTTTTGAAGCTTTAAATTTTATAATTAGAAATGAAAATATATTTTAAGGCTATCACAAAGATTTTCAATATTGAAACCACATTTCTTGATACTATTTGAAGGTGTGCTTTATTTTAATTGTTTAGAGCCTCGGCTCTATACAAAATACACCTTTTTAATATTCCACTTAACCTCCCACATAAACTCTTGTTGTAAGTTTTTAATTAAATTTAACTGTTATTAGATCTCCTATTAGGACTAATCCTAATCGGCAAACTATCCCACATCGATATATGTAAGACGATCCACCCTACATATCCGGATTTTGAAAGAGTATTTCCAGTAAAATGGTTAGAAGTTTGAACACTTGAGTCGGATGTTTGGTTCTACTTCCTGTTTGTCAGGAAGCCCCAACTCTGAGCCCCCTTTTATTTCAAGAATGCCACAATTCATTACAAAAGCCACCAGCCTTCTTGATCAAATTTGTGCCGGTTCTGAATAGCCCACGTCGGACCCTTGGGAGTAACCGGTTCCGGATGCCCTTGAGCTAGAAACCTCCCCAAGTTATGTGCGGCATAATCTAGATTGGATTAGGTGGGTGGGCAACCTTGGTCCCCACTTCCAAAATCTGCAATTTTATTTATGAACCCGGTGTTTTTTAGTCCCCCGACTCATACTATTTTCATGCGGGCTCCCTTGAACATCCATTATTTGTATCAATCTTGGATCCAAATTTGTAGTGATCCATGATCTACACTATGATGATCATGAATACAAAAAATAAAATGTGATAAAATAAAAATTTAAAACATTTTATTTATAATATTTTCCCATCCATTAGATAGGAATTTTTAGTTGTGGCTGTTCATCTTAGAGATGGATGTTTGTGATTGTGCGGGGATGTTTGTAATTGTGCACGCAAATGAGACAGCTGACTCACAAACACTTTTTATTTATTATTGATTTGTTTTAATTGAATTTTCACTGATTTGGATTATCCAGATCTCCAATCAATCTCTGCCGGGAAATCTAAAACACTGTATAAACTAAGCGGTTCACCCCTACCCAGTTTTATTGTTGGAGCCTCGGGCATTCTTAGGTCTCACAGTGATTTGTTTTCTTTTCTTACAATATTTTTTCTTTGGGTGAGGTATATATAAGGCATCATCCTTATATTGTAGAAGTGAGGCGCAGCTCTAAATTTTGCATGGAGTTGGCATTCCGGTATCGGAAACCATATAATGGCTTGGAAGACAATTTTCATCCATAATTATAAAACTTAAAATTTAAAAAATAGTATGAAAAGAGCACATCTATAAACAAGTAAAAAACTTGAAAATAAACAATCTAAATAACTTGTCACAAGATGAAGCATTTTTATGACTTGAAATTCATTTTTTCTTCATATCTATATGTTCCGAGGTCGAGATTATCAATTGGATAGTTTTCTATTGTTGAAACACTCTATTCGAGAAGATTTTATAGGTGCGCCTCAACTTCAACAATATAAGGGTCACACCTTATGTAAATTTTTGCCTTTTTCTTTCATTTCTTTTAGGAGATTCGTGAGGCCAAACATTGACTCGGTTAGATGGACATCTTATCCTTTTTGTAATAAAAAATTAAAAACTATCGAACTAAGTAAAATCAAGGAAAAATTATATAAATCCAATTCATACAGTTTCTATGCATATATGCGCCATTTAATTTTGTTAATTTTGTTTAAAAACTTGAGGGAAAAGATGGACCCACTTTTAAGATAAGGGGGAGTGTCGTGAGACTATCGATCACAATGATCAGGCTTTTACCAGAACTATGAGAACTCTGTAAATTTTTGTGTCTCTCCATGGCCATAAAACTCTTCTTAAAGAGGGATGGAGGATGCCGTTCTCTAACGTTCGGCTTCCTCTTGAAATCTCTGAAAAAACGTGTCCATGTAATCTTGGGAAATAAGCCGTTACTTTCTAGCTGTTAGATAATGACACTTTATCTCTCTAAAAAGCCTTCTTTTTTTAATGATAAACATTAAATTATGAGAGAGAAAAATATTGCACATTTAAAGGCCCCATGGCCACACACACGTATCAACAAGTTTGCCCAAAACCTTATCTATTAGCGTGTTACTGTTTTCCTTTGCATCGAGCCCCTCTTGAATTTTTGGGTCATTTTAGAGCTCATCACAATCAAACATATACGAATTAGTTTAAAGCCTTTTTATTGATTTTATGGCTTTTTTTCGTTGTAGTTTCGGCACTCCAAGTTCTAAACCTATTGATGTTAACAAAGCATAAAACCAAAAAATACATTGAACTAATGAAAGAAGTTTTGGCATCGAAAAACCTTCAAATTGTCCATCACGGCCTTAACCATTGTGATTATTGTGGTTGTGAAAAAAATAAAGGATTTGAAACCCTAAAAATGGTTTGTTTTTTAATGCATTATCTAGACTCATTTCGTAAAAATAAGTATTCATAGATCCACAAGATCAATTCCATTTTTTGAGTTTCACATTTCGTAGCCGGTGTTGGAAATTGATTTAACGCGCTTGCCAAATGAGGATTTGAGATGAGGTTATACTTTATTTTCATAAAACCTAGCTTTGTAGAAATTACATCCATAACAAAACAAGTGGGGTCCAATGTGGAGATTTAGGTAATTTATCCTAAAATTAATTGAGAGGATTACTTTCTCGGCATTTATCAAAGGACCCTGTTTTTATGCGGCCAAGCCCGCATATGTAGAAATGCGGGTCTCTTAATAAATCTAATTTTTAGATGGATTTTAAGACTTAATCAATTTTTAGGGTTATGTTATCTCTAACATGAAGATCATGAATATGAATTTTTGTTTTAATTTTAATTTTTTAAAAATAATAATCCTAGTGAGAAAACATTTTTACAATTAGTTTCCATTGTTTTCGATGGAGCACCTACTTGCATTTATCTTTACGATGGATGCTTTACACTTCCTGGAATGCGATCTAGATCCAGCCTGCATGAAAAAATTTTCATTCATCAAAAGACCCCACTTATTCAAGAACAAATTCGCTTGCAAGTTTTCCCTGGAAAGGGCACTCTGAAAATATTTCTTAGAAGAGGGGTAAGGCTGTGGTTTGTATAAGGCTGAGGCCCTAAACATTCAAAGTAAGGCTGGGGTAGAAATAATGTTGTTCGATATTTTTTCAGTATTATAGATCTTTGTGATGGTTTGAAAATTTATTTTTTTATTTAATTATATAATTTTAAATTTAAAAAATAGTGCAGATCAAATAAATCTATGAAGACTTGATAATCTTGAGTCTAGAATACATTATGGGATATACTATTTTTAAGGCTTAGAATCTAATTTTTTTTGCTGTTCATATATTTTTAGGCCGAGACGATCGATTAGAGGATTTTTTAACGACGAAAAAAAACCCATCTAATGAATTTTTTGAGGTGTATCTTAAATTTGATTGTTCAGGCCCTCACCCCTGTATAAGCTTTTGAGCGTCGACCGCGTTTCTTTATTAGTGCAGGCAGGCACCTGCGAAATTTTTTGAATTAATAAGAAAAGAGAGAGATTACCTAGAGAGAGAAAGAGAGAGCTTGTCTTTGTTTCACTTAGTGAGAGAGAGAGAGAGAGAGAGAGAGAGAGATTGTGCTTCTCTCTTTCGAATTTCTTTCGTAGTTTAGTTCATTTATTACATTTGTTCGTAGTTTAATTCATTTATTGTCTTTTAAGAGAATTTTTTTTTCCTTCGTCGTCATAGGATGGAATGCAACACAGGCACCACCTTGTTTAATCTCTCTTTCTTTCTCTCTCTTCGCAGCTCTCTTTCTCTCTCATCGCAGCGCCGATTCCGCTGCGCTCTCTGTTGTGTCGTGGGAGCAAAAATACGCGAGAACTGAATTATAAGAGAGAGAAACTGAATGCTTCAGACTTCCCTTTGACCTTTAATTAAGCATTCTCTCTCCTCCATTAATTCACAATTCGAAAAATGATGCCATTCTCTCTCTAGATACTCTCCGTTCTCTCTCTACGCTACACATGTGTTCTCTCTCTCTCTCTCTAAACTATCAAAGTAATGAGTTTCATTGTTTAGTGGAGGTTTGACCCTCTCTCTCTCTCTAAAATCATGACACATGTAGGTGCATCTCCCTCTTTCTCTCTCTACATCTTTTTCACGGTACTGAACAAAGGTGCAGTAGTATTAAAGGCCACTCACAAGACTTCTTCCTCACGCTTTGCTTTTGTTTTCTCTCTCTCGTTTGAACTCAGGGTAGAAGAGAGAGAAGGTTAGAGAGAGAGAGAGAGACGGAGAGAGAAAATGGGACGAGCCCCTTGTTGTGATAAGCAGGGGCTGAAAAAGGGGCCATGGACCCCTGAAGAAGACCAAATCCTTGTTCAATACATAAACACTCACGGCCATGGAAGCTGGCGCTCACTCCCCAAACTTGCAGGTTTCACTCTATCTCTCTCACTAACCCTTGTTCATCCCTGTTTCTCTGTCTACACTTATATCTCTCTGCCAATTTTTTTTTTTAGATGCTCGGACGATTGAAAAATTAGAGAGATATGCTTTCATTTGTTTCATTTTGGGGTTGAATCTGGTGTACCTCTTTTAGTGGCCTTGACTCTTGTCTTTTAGAGAGAGAGATTGAAGCTCACAGCAAAAAAAAAAAATGCGTGATGTTTTATCTGAAGTTATGAAGAATCTGAACATTAGGGTTTCATTTGCTTCTGAGAACTTAAGATTATTTCTCCCACGAAAAGAAATACATCATGGTTTCTCTCTCTAAAAAAACCTCCGTGGTTTCTCTCTCTTAAAAGAAAGCTTCATGGTTCTGGACAGCTATTTGTTTCAGAGTTCATAAACCTCTCTCTCTCTCTCTGTCTCTCTCTCAAGCTTTCCCCTAAACTCCCGAAAAACCTATCTTCTCTATCTGGATTTTGTCTAAAAACTTTCTTTTTACATTTTAATTAAAAACTATATAAATTTGTTGGATTTGAGTTCTATAATTTATAATGCATATTCTCTCTTAGAAATTGAACCTAGATTTCTTGACAATGAAATTTTAAATTACTATTAGCACCCTAATATAAATAATTTCCTTCTTAAATTTGAAATAATATTGGGAAACAAATATTTTGTCAAAAAAATATTGCCAAGTGTGTTATAACTTCTTGGCAAAAATAGCTTCCATATTTTTTTAAATTAATAATAATAAATGTCTATTCTCAAGCTGTAAATTAAAAGGAAACAGTTTTCAATGGGAAGCAACTTAAAGAAATGATGACCAAAATTTCGGCATATTTTCAGTGAAAATCGGCTAATCAACAATGACGAAATTTCGATGCATTTTTGTATAGATGGCTGTGCAATTTGGCCTTCATAATTTTTTATTTGAGAATTAAAATTGGAAGACTCTCGGTTTTTGCACAAATAATTAATAATATTAATAAGTACAATACTGCGAAGATTTTGGTAAATAAGGGCTGGCAATGAGTCGGGCCTGTGTGACTTGAGGGCCAGTACCAGCCTAGCTTGGCTTTTTTTTTTTTCTTATTTTTTCTTTGGGTGTGGTTTCTATAACGTTGCAACCTTAAACAATCCAATTAAGGTTCACCTTCAAATTTTATCTTAATGTGTAATTTTGGTGTAAAAAAATCTTAGGATTATTTAAAATATATTTTTATATCTAATTATAAAATTTTAAAATTAAAAAATGATTAAAATCAAGTAGACCTATAAATATATGAAAATCTAGAAAATGGACGGTCAAAATTATGTGTTGCAAGATACACTATTTTTGGGACTCAAAATCATTTTTTTTTTTCATATTTATACTTCTCGATGTTAATATCATCAATTAGATGGTTTTTCAACATTAAAACAACATTATTCGATGGATTTTTTAAATGCATGTGTAATTCTACATTTTAAAGTTTCAACCTTATATAAACTTTTTCTTTTTCTTTTTAGTTTTTTTCATTTGTTTTTGCCCGACCTGGCCCCTACCCTAACGCGGCTAGGTCCTGACTAAGGCCAAGGCTGGCCCGGCCCTAACCCGGCTTTTGCCACCCCTATTTGTGTTCGGGCTTTGTTTGGGCTGAATTTCGGTTGACTTTGGAAATTATATGCTTGAATATAAATGACTATAATTCAATCTTTGATTATGAAAAAGTGACATTCTTATATTGTTTACTCATTTTTAGTAAAACCGTTCAATAAAAGAAAATAAAATAAATTACTTGGGAGAAACTTAAAATCAAACAAATTTCTTAAAATCTTTTTTTTGTGTTTTTGTTTTGGGTAAGTAGGAAGAAGGCCCCTACCCGTTTTTCATTAATAGGAAAAAAAAAGAGTAAGTACAAATCATAGTGTTACAACCCGGGAACTTGTTCAAACATCAGTAAGTAAAGGAAGGGTAAGGGTAAGAAAATTTGGCGGTTTTACATGACAAATGGTGGCAATAGATAAAGGTGTGGCTTTCTTGGCAAGAGTGTCAGCTATCATATTGGCCTCATGAAAGATGTGTGAAAAAGACCATGCGGCATTTTTTGGCTTGGCTTACAAAATTGAAGTTCTACATTAATAATAACTTTTAAATGTATTTAATTTACATTTTATTTATTATTGATGAGATACTTATAACTATCTATGCCTGTAAGATTTGGGATTATATAACATTAGACCATTTATTATTGTTATAAAAAAGGCACAATCATTTTTAATTATTAATTTGAAATCCAATAGATTGAAGTGTGTCATAACATTTCAAAATTTTTAGTTTAGACTATGTGCTCAACCAATGATGCATCATCCATCATTCGATTTCACATCCAACGGCCATTAATGATTTTGACATCTTTGTATAAAAAATAAATGGACTCATTGTATACATTTCTATAAGATTTTATTCAATTTTGTCACCTATTCAACCCAGCATAAATGGCAGGATAGCAAAAAAAGAAAAAGCCGAAAAAAAAAAATCTCTTGGAACCGCTCTTAAGTTAGAACTATTTTATTTTGGACGACCCAATCTATTTACCTGTTTTGTACAAATCTAGAAGTTTTTTCTATGTCTTGGGTTTGCTCGGGTGATTATGAGTCATCTTATCAAAGAATTGTATCACTATTGAAATATTATGAATTTCTTTTTTCTTTTTCAGGGTTGCTTAGATGTGGAAAGAGTTGCCGCTTACGCTGGACTAATTACTTGAGACCAGATATCAAGCGTGGCCCTTTCACACCCGAGGAGGAGAAAACCATCATTCAATTGCATGGTCTACTTGGAAATAGGTTAAGTTAAATTTTTGTTTTTATTTTTATATTTTTTAATAGTAATAGGTAAATTAATTTATTTATCATGTTTTTTTTTTATTTGGGTGAGTCAAAAGTAGTCAGTCACTGGGGATTTTGAACCCCTACCTCTGTTGGGAATGGAGTCAACGATCCTATCATGGGGCTCGACAATACTACTGCCAACATCCAGGCCATTCTCATTTATCATGTATTTCGTTTTACTACTTATTTATTATCGGACATGCCTTCTATACGGGTATGCCTGCAAGCCCTCACACCATCTACCCTGTCCAACTTAATTGTACAGTGGACATTCCAAGGGCATGTTGCACAATTAAGTTGGATGGTTTAGATGGCGCTCGGGCTTGCGAGATAGCCTGCATGAAACAATTTTGCCTAATTATTTCTATTTTGTTATTAGTTTTTAGTCCTATATTCCAACCAAAATTGACATTGCGTAATGTACGCATGGCACGAGGCCTCTACGTGCACCTGCATGTGCAGCATGAGCTCTCCACCCACACCTAGATGTGTAGCCTGAGCATCAGTCTGCAACTTCATGTGCGGTGCGAGCCTTCCCCTGTGCTAGTGAGCTGCACATGATCCTTGAGAGTTTTTTTTTCTTTTTTTTTGCAGCAAATGCTTTAGCATATTTTCAAACGACACAAAAGCTAAAAAAAAGCGATGTTTTTTTTTTTTTAATTCATCGTTATCGAAGCCTTTTCTCTATATTTGAGGGTGGCTAATTTTTTTTAAAAAAAATAAGTTGTGGAAACTAATTGTGAATTATCCCATCATAGTGCGAGTGGCTCTATCCGATTGAAAAAGATGAATTGCTAAGAACACTTGATAATTTACCAAAACTAATTTCTACATTTTTACCATTTGTTGAAAAAAATATAATGGTGAAAACCTACCTTTTTACCATAAATTTTGGGTGGTTTTTTATTTATTTATTTATTTATTTTTCAATTTTTACTACAAGAAAAATACATTTGGATAGAACGAAAACATGATAACAATATTATAAACATGTTTTATCAGTCGACTCCTAATAGTTAGTTAAAAAAAGACTATAAAGATGATGATTATTATTATTATTGTTATTATTATTATAAACATGCCCTATAAGATACCATGTGACACACATCAAAGCAAATATGGCACATAGTAAAATCGAGCGGTTTCATTCCGCAAGTCATTGTACATATGAAGTATTTTACATGTACAAGAGCATTTAACCTCTCATTTACTTAAAAGATCAAATATAAAGGGCTGCATGCAATGAGACTGTCGCTTTTAGTACACAAATTACAAATGCATCACCGACTGAAGTCGCTTCTATGCACAGCTTTTCAAAAAAAAAGAAAAATTTTTAGACATTGGAGACAGTCCGCGATATACCCCAAATCGTTTGATTTCACATTTAATGGCTAATGGTCATTGTGATCTTTTTGTATCAAAAAGAAATGGATGTACCCCAAGCCGCTTGATTTCATATTTTAATGGCTAAACGTCGTTGAGATCTTCCAAACCTCTTGATTTCACATTTAATGGCTAAACTTCGTTGAGATCTTTTTGTATAAAAAATAAGAGAAATGACATATTGAGACTCTCTCGCACTTATATGAGTAGGATCCCAAAAGGAGCACCATTAAATTTGACATAGATTACTAAAAAAAAAATTATCACATGAGTGTGAGACTTGACTTTTTTAAAAATCTGTGCAAATTTGATGGTGATTATTTGGGGTTCTATTCATATGGGTGTGGGAGGGTTTCATAAGATCATTAATCAAAAACTAAATGGTCTCATTATATTCTGACTTGAACAAGTTAGATGTGGACTATCCTACTAATCTAGGATTATTTTCAGAAGCCTCATCTGTTTTTAGTTCCAACCAACATGAATCAATGGATGTTCCCTTTTTTGTTTCATATTTTCTTATTTGTAACCTTAAATTCTTATTTGATATTATCCTTCTTAATAGTCAATATCTCATTTCAAGTGTGACCTGGTCTTATAAGTTCTCTAATGTACCTTGTTTCACAAACAAATTATACTTTGAAGGGGTTTTCATTCCTAGTAGCTTTGCTTTCTTTTATATAGTTCCTTACCTCGCTAAATATCTTTTTAAATAATATATCGTGAGTTTATATCAGATAATCTGTTCTAGATAAAATTAATGTATCTAGGTGCTGCTTTCTTTTTCTAGCTTTTTTTTTTTATAGCTATTTTGGCAAAAGCTATGATTTCCAATAAATTATTGTGCATAAGTAAAAAATGACATTTCAAAAACATAAACTTATATTTAAAACTGCCATTAATTTTATATAACTTCGTGATGGACACCGCTAAATAATAAATAATTGATAATCATTTTTTTGACATGGAAGTAATTAATTTTCTTTCTTTTTTTTTGGTAGTTCAATTGTAAAAATTGAACTTGAGATGTATCATTGTTAAATGACAACTGAAATAATTAATTACCATGATTATTGTAATGGTAAAAGATGCACTGAGCAAATAACCATCAAATTTTTAGGGTTAAAACCAGTGATTTTAAAAATGCCGGGTCGGCACTGCCCGATCCCATCCGGGAGTCATTCACCCCGTTCTAGTTCTGTGTATATATTGAAAAATTGCCGAGTCTAGAAGTGAACTAAAGGCTTTGCACTTTAAAACAGTGGTTCTCTACAGTAAAACATCAATTTGGACTGTCGATTCGCCGATTCAAACCATTGTTCGTCGGTTTACTATTTTTTATTTTCATATGTTTTTTTGTCGGTTCACTATTTTGTTGGCCTAATAAAATAGTAGTCCAGGTGGCCGATTGACCAATCTGGATCGACTTTTGGGGTACCCGATCTGAAGCACCGCTACGTTTTTCAAATCACTTATTAAAACAATTTAAATCACTGGTCAATAAACATTTCAGCTTTTCAGATATTTTTTGTTGGTACTGTTTTAAATGACTTGGATACATCTTTTCACTCAAGTTGTTGAATTCATATATGTGGAGAAGTTTGATATTTCACAGGCGACTCGAGGGGACAGGGAGGGTTAACAAGCGACTTCAGGTACAAGGAAGTGAGAGATCACCAATTAATGAAGTTAAGAGAGAGAGAGAGAGAGAGAGAGAGGTAGTTA